GTCTTGAACTCCTGGATTCAAGCAATCCTCTCACCTCGACCCCAAAATGCTAGGATCACAGGCATAAGCCACTGTACCTGGCCCTGCATAGGCTTTTATAACCTAGACTTGGATGTCACATACAGTCACTGCCACCATATTCAGTTGGTCAAAGTAATCCAGATTCAAGGCAAGGAGATACAGACCTTACCTCTCAATAGGAGGAGTGTCAAAGAATTTGAAGTTATACATTAAACACTCCTCACACTTTGACCCCCAAAAGAAGTTTCCTGGAGGGATGAACTCCAGAAGGATGTCAATGGAACAGTCTATCCTTCTTTCTCTGACAAGGAATTAGGATTATATCTCCTGTGATTTGGAGGCAATCATTTCACACCCTTCCCTGGAGGTGTGCAGGTATATCCTCACCCATGTCCATCCACATGCACACACACAGGCATTCACACAGGCAGATCTGGTATATCTGTGTAGTCAACGCTGTCTCCATTTCTATCCGTTTTCCAGGTCAAGGAGACCCATAGTCCTGCCCTAGAGTTTTTTCCCAGGAAGTTAATTCACTGACCATTCCTGCTCCCACTGGTGTGAACAGGGGGTGTTGGTAGGGATGGAACCCAGTCAGTCACTGACTGGGGAGTCTGGCTTTGATGTGTTCTCTGGGGTGTGCATGCACGTGCGTGCGTAAATGCCTCCTGGTTCTGACTGGCTCAAGTCAGTGTAGAAGTGAGGTCTGGGGCTAAGAGCAGGCCGGATGGCTCAGACACATTCTATAAATCCAAGGAAGTCAAAGTGAGATCTAAATTCTGCAGGGGTCAGCCCAAATCCTCACTCTAACTAGCCCTGCCACACTCTTCCCCATACTCATCTTATGTCCCATGCGTACTCACCGTTCCCTGATCATGCCACGTTCTTCCATTCTTCCGTAGCTTTGCCCATGCTGTTCTCTCTGCATAGAATGCCCTTGCCCCCTCTTTTTCCTGACAACCCTAGTGTCTGCCTTTTGTATCATGTGATATTGCAATGATCTGTATATATTATTATTATTTTTTTTATTTTTTTAGACAGAGTCTCACTCTGTTGCCAGGCTAGAGTGCAGTGGTGTGATCTCTGTTCACGGCAACCTCTGCCTCGTGGGTTCAAGCGATTCTCCTGCCTCAACCTCCCGAGTAGCTGGGATTACAGGCATGTGACACCACACCCGGCTAATTTTTGTATTTTTAGTAGAGATGGGGTTTCACCATGTTAGTCAGGCTGGTCTCAACCCCTTGACCTCACGTGATCCACCTGCCTGGGCCTCCCAAAGTGCTAGGATTACAGGTGTGAACCACCATGCCCGGTGATCTGTATAAATGAATAGCTCCACTTTCCTCAAGAGCAGAGACCATGCTCTACTCATCGCCATATCACTAGTGCTTGGCGCACAATCATTCTCAACAAACACTGGTTGAACTAATGATTGAATGAACAGCTATTGCTCCCAGATTCAGCAACTATTTCTCCTCCATGTCTTTGCTCTGTCCCACTCCGCCCCGATTCCCTGGGCTGCTATGAGAAGGGGCAAGGGTCCCAAAGTCTAGAGTGAAAAGTTTGGGCTGCATTCTTGAGGCCCCAGGGAGATCCTGCAGAGTCTCCGAAAACAGGGAAGGATTCCATGTTGTAGAGGTGGGCCCAGCAGGCCCACAGGCCCTCACACCCAGAGTGCATTCTGCAGGGTTTTTCTAATGTTGGGGAGGATGCCTTAACGTCTGAAATAGTCTGTAAACATTGGGTTAGGTGTTAGGGTCTGCTGGGAATACTTAGACTGGGACTGAGCCAGTACCCTGCTGGAAGAAAATAATTCAGGCTGCTGAGGTGGGGGCAGGTGCAGTTGAGAAAAGAAGTCCCCAACATCAGTGCTCCTGGCCGGGCGTGGTTGCTCACGCCTGTAATCCTAGCACTTTGGGAGGCCGAGGGGTTGGATCACTTGAGGCCAGGAGTTCAAGACCAGCCTGGCCAACATGGTGAAACCCCATCTCTACTGAAAGTGCAAAAATTAGCCAGGTGTTGTGGCTTATGCCTGTGATCCCAGCTACTCTCCTGAGGCAGGGGAATCATTTGAACCTGGGAAGCGGAGTTGGCAGTCAGCCAAGGTTGCACCACTGCACTCCAGCCTGGGTGACAGAGCAAAACTCCATCTGAAAAAAAATTAAATAAAAGATCAGTGCTCCTCACACTTGAATGTGCAAATTCCCTGGGAATCTTGTTAAAATGCTGCTTCTGATTCAGAAGGTATGAGGTCAGCCCCAAGATCCTGCTTTTCTAACAAGCTCCCAGGTGATGGCACTGTTGGAAGGATAGAGGGCAGGGGCCAGAACGCAGCTGCAATCACACTTCGAGTAGCAAAGACCTAGAAAACTAGCATTATGATCCAGACGCTGAGGATTCAGCCCTTAAAGGGAGTGGCTGCCATCAGCAACATCAGTAAAATGTTCAGAAGATGATGCAGGAGACAATACACAAAGCAAGCCTGACAAATATCTGGCATGTGTGCCAACCCTTCCATTCTTTGATTCTGTGACCATGGTCAGGAGTTCAAGACCAGCATGGCAAACATGGCAAAACCCCGTCTCCACTAAAAATACAAAACACTAGCTGGGTGTGGTGGCGTGCATCTGTAATCCCAGTTACTTGGGAGGCTGAGGCAGGAGAATTGCTTGAACCCAGGAGGCGGAGGTTGCAGTAAGCCAAGCTCCTGACACTGCACTCCAGCCTGGGCAACAGAGCCAAACTCTGTCTCAAAAATAAACAAAATAAAATAAAATAAATAAATGGTGACTACCAATATAAAGTGGTGAATATATTGCCTGCACAGTTTTACGGGACATGGTAGTGGAATGGGAAAGAGGAATAGAGGGAGACAGGAGTCAGAGAGCTAGGGGTGGGGAAGAATAGGTGACAAAGACTATTCTTGCCTAAGACTATGGGCAGATTCCCAGCTCTCTCTGGAAGGCCCTGGGCTCCCTACTGGCACTAAAGCTCTTTGAAAGAGGTGAGTGGCACTTGTCATCTTGAAATACCTGAGTACAGAACTTCTTTTCAAGGAAAGTTGTGAAAGACTCTGATATGGTCAAAAAGATATAACCTGTCCTTGTGTGCTATTTTCTAGTTCTATTGTCATCAAGCTGTTTTACCACCCAGTCAATGGAAACAATTATTGTCCATAGAAATGCAAATTGCCTGGTGCATATGCAATTGATTATTGCTTAGTGGTTATTGACCAATTTGGCATCTATTAAGCAGATTTACTTCATCTTTTTTGTTTTTTTTTTGAGACAGGGTCTTGCTCTGTTGCCCAGGCTGGAGTACAGTGGTGTGATCATGGCTCACTGCATCCTCAACTTCCCATGCTCAAGTGATTCTCTTGCCTCAGCCTTCTGAGTAGCTGGGACTACAGGTGTGCACCACCATCCTTGGCTAATTTTTTTGAATTATTTTTTGTAGATAAAATTTTTTGTAGATTATTTTTTGGATCTCCACTATGTTGCCCAGGCTGGTCTTGAACTCCTGGGCTCAAGTGATCCTCCTACCTTGGTCTGTGAAAGTGCTGGGATTACAGATGTGAGCCACTGTGCCCTGCTGACTTAATCATTCTTTTTGTTTGGTTTGTTTTGTTGTAAGACAGGGTCTTGCTCTGTCACCCAGGCTGGAGTGCAGTGGCATGATCTTAGCTCATTGTAACCTCAATCTCCTGAATAGCTGGGGCTACAGGTGCACACCACCATGCCTGACTAATTTTTAAAATTTTTGGTAGAGACAGGGTCTCACTATGTTGTCCAGGTTGCTACTTCATCACTCTTTGTTTTTCTTCGTTTTGAGACAGAGTCTCACTCCTTTCACCCAGGCTGGAGTGCAATGGTACGAACTTGGCTCACTGTAACCTCCGCCTCCCAGGCTCAAGTGATTCTCATGCCTCTGACCCTCGAGTAGCTGGGATTACAGGCATGCACCCCCATGACTGGCTAATTTTTGTATTTTTAGTAGAGACAGTGTTTTGCCATGTTGGCCAGGCTGGTCTTGAACTGATCCAAGTGATCCACCTGCCTTGGCCTCCTAAAGTGCTGGAATTACAGGCATGAGCCAAAACGCCCAGCCTATTTCATCACTCTTGATGGCCTAAATATGTCTCTGCTCTTTGGATTGTCCTTTGAACTGACTGTAACATCTTACTGGTTCCTTCACTAATTAATGAGTTAAATAAAAATGTTGACATGATTATTGTATATTTCTATGAGAGTAATTATTCTGTTTCGTAGAAAAAAACTTTTTTTGACATTCACATTAACAGTGAAGATTGGGCAGGAGGTTTCCAAGATCCTTTGCCCCGGACAAGCTTTTCCACAGGCTCCAAACGCCATTACACCTGTCAGGTCTGTCAGGTTGGTTTTTTGGTTTGTTTTTGAGACGGAGTCTTGCTCTGTCACCAGGTTGGAGTGCAGTGGCGCGATCTCGGCTCACTGCAACCTCCGCCTCCCAGGTTCAAACGATTCTCCTGCCTCAGCCTCCAGAGTAGCTTGGACTACAGGCGCACACCACCATACCCAGATAATTCTTGTATTTTTAGTAGAGACAAAGTTTCACCATTTTGGTCAGGATGGTCTCAATCTCTTGACCTCATGATCTGCCCATCTTGGCCTCCCAAAGTGCTGGGATTACAGGCATGAGCCACCGCATCCGGCCCATCTGTCAGGTTTATAAGGGATTACCCCCACTTCATTGCTTGTTGCATGCCATCCAAATAGATACATAATGATTCTATATTTGAGCTGGACACATTCTCAGACATTTATATGTGTTTGTTTAACAAAACATATAACAAACCTACAAGTACCACACCAAATACTTATCCATGTATTCATTCAATGATAGGAAGTTGCATGTGGCAGGGACTGCATTTGTACCTCTTTTGAGCTTAGCAAGTGCCTAACTCATGGTAAGTTCTAAAGACACATCCACTGAGCCAACACATGAATGAATAAGCCCAGCAAGCCTTTACTGAGTGTTTACTATGTACTGAACATTGTTTTAAACACTTTATTTAGTTTGTTTAATCCTCACACTAGTTACATGGTAGGTACAATTAATTACTATCCTCATTTACACATAATACAGAGAGGTGAATGAACTTGCTCAAGGTCAACAGCTAGCAATGGTTGAGGCAGAATTCAAGCCCTGGTAGACTGGCTCCTGAGCCTATGATCTTGGGCACCCATATGCGCCAGGCATCTTGCTAGGTTCTGATATACAGAGATAAAAGACACACCAAACACAGACTTTCCTTAAGGAGGTCACACTCAAGAAAGGCAACAAATAACTAAAAAGAATGTGATGTGCTCTGGCAAGTGAGAACAGGATGCTAGGGACAGAGGGTGTCAGAGGGTTGGACAGGGGTGTGGCTCACTGCAGAGGGGCCACTTGACCTGAGGCAAGTTCTGAGGCTACTGGTAGTTAATGTTCAGACCAGAGGAAGGGAAGAGCATTCAGGCCACTGGTACGTTTGGTCTGAGAAGGTGAGAGTCCCCAGGCTGGAGCCCAGAAGTGCAGGGAAGTGAAACTGGAGAGACGAGCCAGATCCAGACGCTGGAAAGCTTCACTTGCTGAGGGAGGAAGGGTGTTGGGATGCCCCTTGGAGGCCTCACAGGACTGTGCGCAAGGGAGATATGAAATCAGACCCCACACTCCACCTGCCCCGCCCAGGACACTAAACCCAGTACACAGAATTCCTTACAAGCTGTATCCCACCCCGGAGAGTTCCCCGGGAGGGCTAGACAGGAGGGAAATGCTAATTGAGTGTGGGACACAGCCAGAGCCACCTGGGAGCCATGGCTGGGATTCTCTCCCCAAGCCCTCCCCCACAATCCCTTCAGTCACCCCCGCCCCCCAACCCAACCTTGCCAGCTCAGGCACTCAGGCACACTTCCTCCTGTCACATCCCCTTTGAGGCCAGAGATAAGAATAAGCAACATGTCTCTTCCTACACCCCTTCCCTGCTCGCCCTCTGACTCTACCATCCAAAGCAGCTGCAGAGCCTGGAACACCCTAGGCCCCAGTCAGAGGAGGGAGCATGGGGAGGTGGGAGCTTCCTGGGGGGCCGTGGCTCTGGGCTCTACCCTCCCCTCCCACAGGGCTGAGGCTGGTGATTAGTTGGGTTAATTATATCCGAGCCATTTCCGATTGGCACAAGCCCACCCACCCACAGAGCCTGCCCAGAAGGCAGGCAGGCAGGGCCCAGGTCAGGATGCTGGGGCACCAGCTCCTCTAGGTGGATTCCTGACCTGTGTGATGATGGCCAAACGGAGGCTGATTGTCTTCCTGCTCCAGGACGGCCTCCTCTTCTCTCACCAACTTTGTTACCCATCCCTCAGTTTTCTTTGTCCCCACACAAGTCCCTCTCACTCCCCTCTCCTCCCCCCAGGTTTGGAATGAAATCATGAGGCCCTGAGTTCCGCACTAGGCCCCGACATAAACACTCTGATTGGGGCTAATTATAAGGGCCAGGCTGGGAGGCTGGAGCCTTTGGAAAGCTTTGGCTTTCAAACAAAGGGCCCACGGCTCAGCCCCTAGCGCAGGCCGGCTCTCTTCCAGGCTTCCTTATGAATGAGGGGTTCCAGGAAGAGGCAGTCCTCTAGCAACCCCGTGGCCTGTGGGCTCGCTCCATGTCCCACACCTCATCTTGTCCCTTCTCGGTTGCTTTCGCCTTGGCCCTTCCAGGCCTCAGATCCCAGGGCCTTGCCGGATGGCTTGGCGGAGCCACGAGTCAGGCCGTGGAAGACAAGGCAGCAGGGGAGGAGCTTTCAGGCTGGGAGGCAGGGGCAGCGGCAGGGGCAGGGGTAGGGGAGGCGCAGGGGAAGCCAGCTGTGACAACCCAGGCCCTAATTAGTCGGCTTCAAAGCGGGCAGAGAGAGAGCCCGCCTGCGTGTGTGCCCTGCTCACTCAGGCGAGTAAGACATTTCTGTCCCAATCAGAGGAGGAAGAGGAAGAAAAACACTGGCCACCGCCACCCCGAGGAGACTTTAGACACTGGACTGGCACCCTGAGTCAGGCAGAAAAACTGAGAACCTAGGAAATCATTCTCTTCTGTTGAAACTGATACAAAAGTGCTGGGAAGGGAAGACTGTAGTTCCTTTAAATGATATGCAAAGGGGGAAGGGAAGTGCTGGGTACAGGAGGGCGTGGTCCCTGGCCAGTGCTACACCCCCACGGACCTAGGTGAGGACAGGCACTTTTGTTTTCCTGCCCAAATGTTGCGTTTCCCAAGACCACCCTGGCCTGCCATGCCCCCGTCCTGTGCCTATAAAAACCCGAGACCCCCAGCAAGGCAAAGCCAAGCCGCTGGATGCTGAAGAGGAGCACGTCAGCAGAGGCAATACACAAGCGGTTAGGCGTTGAGAGGGACACACCAATAGGCACCCGCATGCTGGCAGGCCACTGACCAGGCAGAACAACACGGAGTCTGGCTGGCGCAGTCAGAGAAGAGCCCGGGCCGCCGAGTGGCCTGATTCCTAGGCGACACCCATTTACTTTCTGGCTGCCCCGTCTTCTGAGAGCAACTTCCACTCAATTAAAACCTTGCAGTCATACTCCAAGCCCACATGTGATCCGATTCTGGTACACCAAGGCAAGAACCCCGGGATACAGAAAGCCCTCTGTTCTCTGTCCTTGCACCAAGGAAGAGGGTCTAATTGAGCTGGTAAGACAAGCCACCTATCGACAGCAAAGCTGAAAGAGCAAAACTGAAAGAGCACCCTGTAACGTGTGCCCACTGGGGCTTCAGGAGCTGTAAGCATTCACCCCTAGACACTGGTGGGGCCGGAGCCCCACAGCCTGCCTGTCTGCATGCCTCCGCTAGAGGTTTGAGCAGCGGTGCACTGAAGAAGCGAGCCACACACCCATTGCATGCCCTGCAAGGGGGACAAGGGAACTTTTCCCATTTCGCTAGCACTTTGGGAGGCCGTGACAGGAGGATCACTTGAGGTTAGGAGTTTGAGGCCAGCCTGGGCAACGTGGTGAAACCCCATCTCTACAAAAAATACAGAAAAAATTATTTGGCCATGGCACACGTCTGTAGTCTCAGCTACATCCGGAGGCTGAGGTGGGAGAACATATGAGCTCAGGAAGTCCAGGCTGCAGTGAGCGGTGATCGTGCCACTGCATTTCAACCTGGGCAATGGAGTGAGATCCTGTCAAAAAAAAAAAAAAGTTTTGTTTTGGTAGAGACAGAGCTTTCTCCATGTTGCCCAGGCTGGTCTCAAACTCCTGACCTCAAGCCATCCTCCCCTCTCAGCTTCCCAAAGCACTGGGATTACAGGCATGAGCCACCGTGCGTAGCTAACACTTTTCTAATCTGGAGAAGGAGGAAACTGGACATAATTATTCCTAAGCATCCTTCTAGCATTTAGTTTTCTTGCATATCGTCTCAGTGCTCCATATCCCCACCACTACCCAACTCTCAAACATACTCATATGTAGCAGCAGGGGCTGGGTTCCTGCACACAAGTCATCTAAAAGTGACACTATTGACTGAATGACTGTGACCTAGGAGGCTGGGCTGATAAGGATCACCTAACAAAAACCAGTTATTGATGTTAGTGCTTACACTAACATCCCCTTGAAGGAAAAGTCTTAAAGCCATTTTATAAATTGTCAACCTATTTGCCCTAATGTGGTCATTCTCATCACTTATTACTCTCCTCAAAGTCTTTATTATGCAGCTAAATTACGATAATGGTTTAATAGTTTTTGGCAAACTGGAACCATGATGTCACAAAAGCCATACAAGCAGGTAGGAAAGATGTTATTATAAACTCCTCCCCCTTTTTTAAAGCAGATAAGAAAAAAAAATTTTTTTGAGACAGAGTCTTGTTATGTTGCCCAGGCTGGAGTACAGTGGTGTGATCTCAGCTCACTGCAACCTCTGCCCCCCAGGCTCAAGCCATCCTCCCACCTCAGCCTCCTGAGTAGCTGGGACTGCAGGTGCACACCACCATACCCCATTAATTTTTGTATTTTTTGTAAAGAAGGGGTCTCGCCATGTTGCCTAGGCTGGTCTCAAACTCCTGAGCTCAAGCAATCTCACCACCTCAGCTCCCCAAAGTGCTGAATTACAGGTGTAAGCCACCACGCCCGGCCAGATAAGAAAATTTACAAGGGCCAAATGTCCGGTGGCAAGGCCATAAGATCTACTAAGTGACATTGCTTCATCGTGAATTCATGCCTTCTAAGTCCACATCCAGGGCCTCTGTCCTCTGAGAACATACATCCAGGACCGTACCATCCCAGAGGTGACCTGTCTTTCTGCAGCTGTGAAGGGGAGCTTGAGCTGGGTGTGCCCAACTGATGAGGATTTGCTGAAACAATCCAACCCTTCTTCCATACTTAAAATCCCATCTGGTCTTGGTCCCATATATTTTCCTTTCAGTTTTAAAATGCAAGTCTCTTCTGAGGGAAAGCTGATCCATATGTTTCTGCATTTAAACTTAATTTCTCCAAATAGCAGTCTCTGATATCCCTGAATTTCATACATTTTTAGAAGACAGGAAATAGGAAGAGGCCAAGTATGGGCAGACTGGGAAGAGATGGAGCTCCAGGCGCTCACTGGGATTCTCTTCCTTAGAAAAATAATGTCTCCCATCCTTACAGTGGAGGCTGAGCCTGGCTTCAATCCCATATTCTTGCTCCAACTCTAGCTAAGGCGACAGTTATAACACTTGGGCCAGACAGTATGAGACTCCATCTAGCACACTTTTTTTTTTTTTTTTTTTTTGAAACGGGGTCTCCCTCTGTTGCCCAGGCCATACTTCAGTGGGGCAGTCACAGCTTACTGCAGCCTCGACTTCTCCGGCTCAAGTAACCAGGCTCAAACGATCCTCCCATCTCAGCCTCTTGAGTAGCTGGGACCACAGATGCATGCCTAATGCCCAGTTAATTTTTTTGTTATTTTTTGTAGAGACAGGGTCTCCCTGTGTTGCCAGGCTGGTCTTGAACTGCTGGACTCAAGGGATGCTCCTTACTTGGCCTTTCAAAGTGCTGGGATTACAGGCATGAGTCACCGCGCTGGCCCAGTACAGTTTACTATCTAGAGCATAGTAAAGCGAGGAATTAACTTGATCCCTGATAGCTTGGCCAGGGCAGGAAATAAGGTCACCTGTGAGAGAAGCAATGATTCTGTGGTGCTTCCTGAGTATCTCCATCATGTACCTCAGCAGGAGGGCTTGGGTGCTCCCTCCAGGCAAACATGACTATGACAATGAAGTAAAAACAAACCTGGATGATGTGATGGGTGGGCTTTGATGGAGAAAATATATGGAGGCAATATAGCATGGTAGAAAGTGCTGTGTAGTCAGACAAAACTGAGTTCAAAGCTTGGCTCTGACAATTAAGTCCAGAGACTTTAGGCAAGTCACTTAACCTCTGTGAATATCATCAGTAAGCTTCCGCTGCATGAGATTGTTACAAGAATTAAATAAAACTATTTGTAGGGTATGACAATTAATAGGCACTTAAATAAATGGCAATCAGTAGTTTCATATTATCTGAAAGTAAGATACTGTGTGTTGAATTTCTTAACTCAACTCCCACTTAAATTATGCCCCAGACAGTCTCCTGACATGCTGCTGAGGGTCTAATATGGAAATTTTGAAAACAATCAATCAACAATAATTTGATGGGCATGTGATGGTACAAAGCCAGTGCCAGATGCTATGGATGGGTGGGCAGGGGAAAAGAAAAAAAAGTAGCAGGTTTGCAAGATTGTTTAAGGCTGGACACAGTGTCTCACACCTGTAATCCCATCACTTTGGGAGGCTGAGGTGGGCGGATCACCTGAGGCCAAGAATTTGAGACCACTCTGGCCAACATGGTGAAACCCTGTCTCTACTAAAAATACAGAAATTAGCTGGGTGTGGTGGTGCACGCCTGTAGTCCCAGCTACTCTGAAGGCTGAGGCAGGAGAATAGCTTGAACCAGGAGGCAGAGGTTGCCGTGAGCTGAGATCATGTCACTGCACTCCAGCCTGGTGACAGAGCAAGACTCCATCTCAAAAATAAAAATAAAAATAAAAATAAAATGAATAAATATCCAACTATATATTACTTTTGTTTTTATCAAAGGTAAAAAAGGTCTGGAGGAATAATTCCAAACTATTAACAGTGGATACTTCTGGAAGGGGGTGGGGAAGATGGGGGAAGAAACTTAAATTTTACTTTGTATATTTGTGTACTATCTTAAAATATTTTACAGCAAGCATGTATTAATTTTATAATCAAATAAAAGAATTAAATTTGAGGATTAATTATAAATTACAAAATATTCAAATAAGGAAAGACTTTAAAAGGATTATAAATATCATATACATGTATATTCTGACTTGGAAAGATTTCCATAAAATATTGTCTGGTGAAAATTGGGTACACATTACAATGTCTTCCTCATCTCTTTTATAACATTTTCCAAAGAAACAATGTAATGATCAAAAGCCCCAAAGGGGTGAAATTTTATAATCACCCTAAATACAATAAAACACACACAAAGATGTGTGTGAACAGTAAAGGGCACGAACTCACCTACATAACTTTTGAATTGTAATTTCATAATGGTCAGGACAGAAACTAAAACTAATCTTTGAGCACCATCTCATGGAGATATTTACCACTACCATGTGGTGGTTAAAATTATGCCTCAGTGTTTCTCTCTGTGTGTGTGACTGAAGGCTCTTCTTTAACAGTATGGTGCAATTTCTAGGAGATTTTTTTC